AAAGCGCTCGAACAGGGGGTCCAACGCATCCTTAGGATGAATCTTTTGAACATCACCAGTTGGTTGCGGGGGTGTCGCCAGCTGAAGCCATGGAAGCCATAAGCGCGGAAAGAGGCGATACCCAGTGACAATGCTGCAACCAGGGATTCCATATGTCTGGCGAGGTTGATTCCTGGTACTCCGTGAGAGAGTGGGAACCCCAGGTATTCGGAGTGTTTCGGTTCGGTATGTGTGGGCGCCATTTTCAGGGGGAGATAACGTGTGTTCCAAGGTGCGTCTGCAAGCGTCGGCGTGATAAGCTCACCATTTATACGGAGGGTTGGCGCCGCGTGTCGCAAATCGGTAGATCGTATTCGCTGTTTAATGACACCCTGTTCGAGGCCAGATTTGCGTCCCCACGCATCAATGTCATCTAAAAAGGGCTGGAGCGAAACCGATCGAGGAACTTGGATCCGTGTGTCATCAACAAATAAATAAGAACGGAGGAGCTTGGGCCAAAATTGTGCTAGCGTGACAGCTAAGGAATCCATGTAGATAATAAAGAGCTGGGGGCCGACGATTGAGCCTTGTAGGATGCCATTAGTTCTATGGAATAAAGACGAGAGCGTGCAGCGGTATGTCACTCGGGTAGGGACCCACCCAAAAAGCGCGCGGAGGCAGTTGATCCAGTTTTCGGGCATTCCAGCGTGACGAAGAAGTACTCATAGGCGTGGGAGAGCAACCTTGTCGTATGCCTTGGTTTTCGGTCCAGACAGACGTCGTTCCACTCCTCTTCTGACTGTGTCTCAGATACCATGGCGGCATGTGCTTATATATGACAGGAGTACCGTGATTTGAAGCCAGCTTGGGTAGCATGGGTAGCAGAGCCGGGGTGGCTCGTAATCAGATTAAGAAAGCACTTTTCAAAGATGCGTCTGTCTATTTGCGTAAGCGTGATGGGGCGGAAGTCGGCGGGGGAGGTGGTATCTGCATCGGCTTTCTTTGGGTGTGCAGTCATGAGGCTGCAGTTCAGAGCTGCGGGGAAGGTACCCGCCTTCAGTAGCTCAGTGAATGCGTTGGCAAGGAGTCTAATCAGTGGGCTATTGGCGTCGGGGTGTCCTAATGTCCGGTGTTCAGTAGAGCGCTCCACTGCGGCCTTCCGGAGGAGGATATGGATCCCGTCGGGGCCAGGTCCCTTATTGGGATAGCGTAGTATTTCCTCCATTACATCGTCGGGGCGTATGGTGGAAGTGATACCAGGAGAGGGTTCAGTATCCGGTGGAACCACGTACGCGTTTGGTCAGTGTCATCGGTACCCGGTATGCAGGGTTGGCGCGAAGACCGTCGTTGGTAAGCAAAATCTTTGAACATTTGAGCATTGCTTTGGGCGGTCAGACGTGGGCGGAACGTGTGGTTTGGCAGCCGCTGAACCCAAGGTCTGTTTAAGTCATAATAGAACCCTCCAAAGATTTGTGGGTTAGTGGCATAGCGCCAGATGCGATCGAGGATCCGCAGCAGCCTTTCCGCTGGTCCATGTTAAGTGAGATACGACCGTAGTAGGTTCTGTTCTGATGCGCTCGGATTTCGGCTTGGAATAGTTGCGCGCGGTATTTGTTGCGTAGTTGATACAGTCGATGGCGATATCGGTTGTATCCATGGGAGTGGAGGCGTTGGTCCGGAGGCGGCGGCATTGCTGGCATTTGTTGGGGCCGATGGATTTGATTCGTGGGAAGTATCTGGAGATCGAGTCCAAAGGTGTGGTCACCGCAGATACCGTAGTCCGTCAGCTTATAAGTTTGGAGGGAGGCGGGGGTGGTAGGTCGATGATACGCATGTTCAGTACCAGTTGAGCCGCCAGCATAGAGGTAGTCCAAGTGCCACGTATTACAAAGAGTAGTCTCAATCGTTTTCATACGTAGTCCGTGATTTGTAGAGGGGTGGCCATACTTGCGGGCTTTGAAGTTGAAATCTCCCCACACGATATCTGGTTGGAAACCGCCAATCTCGGTGGGATTCATGTATTGCCTGACGTATTCTTCAGTAAGCGATTTGAGTGGAAAGCAGAACACGACCATATGAACGCCAAAGCACACAAAGAACACCGCGTACGGTGAAGAGCGTACAAGTTGAAAATTCGAATGGTGGTGTTTGGAAAAGATACTAATACCACAGTGTGAAGGGTGTAAGATATTATGCCGTGTAGTGTGACGTAGTACATGATAGCGTGTGTTTGAGTGTATTTGATTAAGAAATGTGGTGTTATGCCATGTTTCAACCACACACATAACATGAAACTGACTTAAAATCGATATATCGTTCAAACACTTATCTGCATGTGCTGCATTGTCCATGTTGAGTCCTTGTGGGTTGAAGAGCGTCATCCTCATTGGTCCTAACATTGTTCATCATCGGTCAATACTACTGAGCTTTCTTCTTTGACGATGTCAGCCATTGCTATATCATTGCCTGTCGTCGAAGAGTCTGTCGTGGAAAGCTGAGGCTGCGTATTGCTATCCATCGTGTCGGATGATTGTGTCGGGGGGACTGTTGGCATATGAAGTCGCCCGGGTTCCGCACGCGCTGATTCTTTAGCGTTTGCCGGGATTCGCGGGTTAAGTGAGAAGAGGTTTGCATCATGCTTTGCTTGGTAAGCCTTCTGGAGACGGTCCGCGGTAGGTTGGAGGATGTCTGCGTTAGTGGAGTTGACAAGTGGGCTCATTAGTGCATCCATGCTGCGGGCAAGAATTTTTGGCGCTCGTTCATGTGTGCAGCGGGCCTCCCGCTTGGTGCGGAGATAGTGGATTAAAGCTGCTTTCGTAGTGTCGGGATGTTGTTGGGAGCGGGGGTCGATGTTTTCATCAAGCTGCCATTTCCACGTAAGTGCTGCATGTCGTTTCACCTGGGCGACAGAGTCGCTGGGAACACAAAGGCGGATGAAACTGGTGGAGCTTCCGCGGCGATTGGGTTGAGATACCGATTTAGACGGAAGATACTAGAGAAAGTGGTGGCGATTGAGGACTGGTTGGGTATGCCAGTATTTTTCAAATACTGATTGGGATGGGGGCTTGCCGTTAGGGAAAATTGCTCGGAAGAAGAGCCATACCGGTTCAATTTTTTTTATTAAAAATACAAATATTGTTTACGTGAAAAAATATATATTTGAAACGAAATGAAACATGTTGAAAATGGCAAAATGAACAGGACAAATTTCGCGGAAGCAGGTCAAAAAAATTGCAGTTTCGCCAGCATTTGTCCTTTCGACGGCGTCTATTTTCTGATCTCCCGTTGGTGGAGAATTGTTGAAAACAAAAATTCAAACAAACGAAAGTCAGACCGAATTCAATGCCTTGGACCAATACGAGTACGAGATATAAAAATATTTATATTTCTGAAAATTATCAATCAGTCAGGACCAGGGTATGGTAGCAAAATTTGTTCAAATTGAGAGAGACGGGAGAATCGCGCAACCCGTGCTAAGCGTGGATATCTGGTCATTTTACCTGGAATATACAATACCACTGTCTTACGTGAGAGTACATTCCTGCCGGCCACTAGAGGCTAAATATGGTGATCGTTATTTTTAAAATGCTTTTTCAAAAAACACAATATTTAAATATTTCCAGGCTAAGTTTATCACGTTATGGGGATACTTAATAGAAGCTGAACGTAAACGCAATTTTTTTTTTCAGTTTTAGAAGAGCTTACCTAATTTCTTTCTATAGGACTCATTCGTAAAACGAAACCGGTACATTCTTGAATGTTTAGACCCACAAAGAGCCCGTGTTTGCATAAAAAGGCCGCATATGAAATAAAGTTGAACGTAAACCTATATTTATTCGATTTATGAAGGTTATAACAAAAAACGGTTTGAGGTTAGTTTCCAGGTATATATGGTGTAGTCATAGATAACTTTCTAGAAATTTGCATGGAATGAAAAGTAAAAATATGAGGGATATGAATAAGAGCAACGGACGAGTCCGTAAAATTTCAAAATAGACAAGAAGGCGGTTTTGTCTTTTGTTCCGCTATGGTTTTGTCTTTTGTGACTTTATAGCTGTTTTTAATAAAATTGGTCCTGCTCGTTAAAAAAAAATACTGATTGTTTCTATGTTTTTAACTTTTGCTAAATATAATTTGGATGCTCTTCTGGATAAATCAATGTTTTTAACTTGAAAACCAAACTCGAATGAAATGCGATATGTTGTCGCATATTTATATATATAAAAATATATGCAATCTTTATGAATAACTATCGGGCCAGACAATAATAATAGAGTTCTCAGTGTTGACTTCTTCTTGTTGGAAAGACGAACGCGGGAGTTGGAAACTTGGAATCCTGAAATCTGATGACAAACATAGTTTTTAAATTTTGTTTT